CAAAAGGTTCATTCTTGACTAGACAGAGGTCCAAGCCAAAAGGTTCATTCTTGACTAGACAGAGGATAGGGTTTGTTTGTGCGTAAGCTCACATCCAATGATATTGTTCTTGACTTAATGTCTGGTCGTGAGGGAAATAGTTGCATGGTTTTGTCTTCCCGATAGCTCCGATAACATCGAAACTCGAKGGAAAACAAAACTAACTAATTTCCAAAGGGACCAGACATTAAGTATTTTTTTATATATCAGTATATCGTTTTCTCAAGGTTGCGTGCGCATCCAATCTTAATTGACGGGCCACAAAACTGAAAAACACAAAATCAGTAAAATTGAGAAGACAGCTCATATCTAAAGAGGAGAATAATCGATTTTGTGAGTTCTTCTCGAAATTTTTTTTATAGCAACGCAGGATAATACTGTTCTGGTATCGTGGCCCGTCAAGTTCGACCTAAAATTTGGATGCGCATGCATGCAACCTTGAGAAAACGGTCAATTGAATATATTATGAAGTCAGGGGGGAGTAGGTTGGTAGTAATTCATTTACCTCAAAACGGAGAGGGGTAAGAACTAATTTTGCATTTAGTACAGGGGGGCTTAAATTAAACTTACTTTAATAAGGCCTACTTTTCTCATTTCAGAACCCCCCTCCAGATAATTATTGTACAGTCCCTTACATCTGTGCCTTCTGCAAAAGAAAATGTTGGATTAGTAAAACTGTGAACGAACTTTTAAAACAGGCGAAGATATGGATTTTCGAGAATCAAAACTTTGTACGACAAAAGCATGCATTAGATCGATCTTGCTTCCATCAGAATTCACACTTTTTAAGAATCCTATCTCCGGCGAAAGTTTGAACTTAAATYTTTCAAACTTCATAGTCATACAGATGTCAATAATCTTTTTAGCTATTGCAATTGTTTCTGTTTTGGTAATATAAAAGTACCTTAGCTCATTTGCACGCTAAACCCTACTAAAAAAACATCCTCAAATATCTCCAAAACCAATCTCTCTCATTCAAAACCCAATAGAGCGCATGCAGTAAAACCATAGAATAAAAATTGATACTGACAAATAGAGGCTTTGCACCATCACGTGCCGACGCCCCTAATACAGCTTGGACTGCCTGTAGTTAGATGGCAAAACAATAAAATCTCCCTTAATTGCTCATGGGAATTGAATTCTTTCTCATGTAAGACGATTGTATTTTTTCCTGGCATCTAACATGGCTGCCGTCACGTGATGGTGCAAAGCCACCATAGTACTATTCAGTAACTAATAGTTGATATCGCTCAACCAGAACATTCATTACGCAAAAGACTAATCTCACAAGAGACAATTTGTTGTCGAAAGCCCTGAACTGCGCATGTCCTTGAACAACAGGTGTAACTGACCTATCAATATGCTGTATAGTCGTCTTCTATTGGTTATTACCATTGATTGACGTTTTGGAAGCCATTTACTAAAGTACCTGGATCTTTGACATATTGATATATGACGTAATATCCTTTCTTTTCGAGTGATATCTATAAAGCACACKTCTATAGCTCTTCAAATCTGAATCACAATATGCGATCTATTTAGATCGCTCTAAGAGCTAAGAATCTCCTAATTTTCGCTGAAAGCTCTCTAGAACCCGTCATCCGGTAAATATTTATCAAAAAAAGTGACAATGACCGGCAACGACGCAATGCAAGAAAAGAGAGGTTTGACAAAGCTTTGTGTTGCTAGCCGCCGTGTATTAGAGCAAGTGTCAGCTGCTCAAGCCCTAGACTTTAATGACCTGAATGGTAATATTTCCTTATGAATTCAGATACGCAATGGCCCTTAAGTCAGAATATCAGCGCCGAAACAAAAATAAATAAAATATAAAAACAAAAAGAGTCGTCCACACGAGTTTTTCTTCTTCTTCTTCTTCTTCTTCCCTCTTCTATTTCTTTTTCGGTTTTTATTCTCATTCTGTTTATTTAGTTATTTTATTTTTTACGTACCAATCGATAATTTCCCCCTTATTTAGTTCAAAATACGTTTATTTTATCTCGTCTGCTTGTGATACTTGGTTGCTTTTCTTCCTGTCTTCATTTTTGATCACTCTTTTTATTTCCTCTTTATTAATGTTTTTTGTGATTTTTCATACTTTTTTCCCCCCTTTTTTCCCTCCTTTTTTTTTAATTTTTTTAATTTTATTTATTTATTTTTTTTATTATTCTTTTCTTTTTTTCTTTAAATTGAATGTATTTACTCCATTTCTTTGGTTTGATTTAGTTTTTTCAGGATATTAATTTYTTCGTCATTAAGTGGTGATTTTTGTTGTTTCTTGAATCATTATATGTTTTTTCTTTATTTTATCACTGATTTGACAAGACTTTATAGCCCGTGCGCGCGTTTTCGACGCGATATTATTTCCAGTTAAATTACTAGGAATGTAGATCTCTTTCTCCTCTTCTGAACATGACATATTATCATTCTCCCTGGAGGCATTATATCTTGTAAATTGATCATGAATAGACATACGTAGTAGGAAGCTTTCAGGCTTCTAAGATGAACGTAGA